CTTAAAGCCGACTTTGATGCGAGACAGAAAGTACCTCCACTTGAATCGTATGATTCTTTGTTGTTGATGCAAGTGTCACAGTTGTACACTCCTGAGATTTTTACACTTTTTCAGATTGAACTTCGTGCTGCTTTAAGAGTGATGATAAAGAGCAAAAATGAGACTCAACCTCCGCATGAATATGTGGTTCGTCGTCATGGTTCAAGAGAAAATGATATGAAAGTACTCTTTGATCCTACAAAAGATTCGGTCGTTTGTAGTTGTAGAAAGTTCGAAATTATGGGAATATTGTGTTGTCATATCCTAAAAGTATTTATTATCCTAGATGTGATGTGCATTCCACAAAAGTACATAATGGGGAGGTGGACTAAAGGCGTGAAAAGTGTCTAAACCATGAAGAATGAAAATTCTCATGGTGTAGAAGATGTTAGAGAATGGGTCCAAAGGCTTCAATCTCAGCTCTTACGGATGACACTTCAAGCTTCCGCCCATGAAGTGACACGAAGTTGCATGGAGAAAATGGTGAACGAATGCAATAAGCAAATTTTTGCATTTGCAACAAAACATGAAATAGCAAATGAAGAAGTTCCTTCGTCCAAGGTAGATGATGAAATTGAAAATATGAAAGGCTTGAAAAAAAAGGACGGGAGAAGGAGAACAAAGCGGCCAAAGAATTGGGTCGAAAAATATGTTGGGAAATTCAAAAAATCAAAATCATTGAAAGAGGTAATCATTGTATTTTATGTGTTTGACAAATGCATTGGTACATTTTAATATATTTAATTAATTTTTGTTTCGTTGTTAAGCCTTGGCGATCGGTGACTAATTCACTTGAAAATTTGAATTCTGGAGAAGCGGTGCACCATCAACAAGAAAATGTGAATGATGATATTGCTTTATCTCACTTGGCGGAATCTCCAAGTTAGAATGGTACGTATTTTTAAATATAAAACTTCAATAACTATTTTTTTATTGATCGTTTCATGTGTTTGTTGCAGTTTACAAGCATTCCAAGAAGATGAGAATGGGGCTATTTCATGGGAAATGCATTCCAAGAAGATGTTTCTGCTATGTTTCCTCTGTTTTTACTTGCAGCACCTGCTGTTTAGTTCCTTAGTGTTAGTGTGAGTTTAAGTGTATTAAGTATATGGTCATTTATTTGCCTTTTGTTTCTAGACCTTGAACCCTTTATTATTATTTACATATTTAGTTTTGTTTTGGGGTGTCCTTGTACTTGTTTTTTGTTAAATTCTGCTGAGGCCAGATTGATTATGTTCTTATTTATAATACTCTAAAAAATGAAAAAACACAAAGAAGTTTGTAAGTCTAATGCAACTGGTCTGAATAGTTTATCCCAGCACCCAAGCTTTATCATGACATATCAATTTTAAGTGCACTCATTAACAAATCTAGATTCATCACTCTGAATATACAACAAACCAAAAAATTGGTATCTGAACATATCATTAAACTCAAGCCAGATAGAGAACCACATTAATATTAAGCATGTTAATTCAACTTTTTCATTGTTTCATTTCTACTTTCATGGCAATCTGCAGATAACTTTCTCTTCAAACACCAACTTCAAAATTCAAATCTTTAGCATATTGTTTCGTTTCGTCACGTTTCTCTCTATTTTATAAGCATTTCATATTCCTCAGATGTTGCCACCTACAACCTCCAATACAGAAACATTTTTATCAAATAAAAGGCTAAATCAATCCTCCATTAAGAGGTGTGAGCAATTATTAATAGATATTTCTTTTCTTCTAAACTAAAGCAAGATATAAGACAATGAAACAAAAATGCCCAATTCAAATATCAAGAACACATATGTAATTCTAAGCCTGCAGTATAAGCATCAGGAAGCCAACACTTTTTTTCATAATCTCAATAGAACATATTCACAACATTATCCTACATATCAAACGACCAATAAGGCATAAGCGCCAGCCGGCCGGCCAATGAGGCCCTCCATGACCAGCTCCGGCGTGGGTCCAGCAAAGAAATACATGTGAAGCATTCCTCCGATCACCTTGTATGTAATCCGATCTCATTGCTATTGAGCAGCCAATTTGGCTAGTCCAAGCTCGTCAACAGCCAACCCGAATAATCCCAAGGCATCCCTCTGGCCACGCTAAATGGGATGAACTCAAAATGTTTGCCTCTGAAATCAACTTTCGAGTCCAAGAACCTCTCGGGAACAAAATTTCCAGGATCATCCCTACCAGTGGCCCACGCGTTGATCAGTGGGGCCGTTGTGCCGGCAGATATATCGTAGCCCATGACTTTGGTGTCGTGAGTGGATTCAAAGGGATGAGCAATGGGGCCGGTGACTTTGGTATCTGAAGTTCGAGCAATCTGTCAATGGAATACGACTCTCTATCTCCACCATCTTCATCTTTTTTGCCGCAATTTTTATGTTCTCGATTCAGTCTCCAAAAACTCTCATATTAATTAGTGCAAAGAGAGAAGCTTGCTGCAGGAGGTTTAGTTTATTAGGGTTATTGCTAGTTTAATAAGTTTATTAATAAGTATAAAGATATTTATTTGTTATTTGTTTATAGCCCTTGGATCTGGATTAGATCTAATGGTGGATAAGTAACAGCAGGGGCTGCTGTAAGTTAGCCACAGCAGCCCCCCTTAACCCTAAATCGATAAGGTTGTGTTTCGGTGATAATGACTCTTAATGAAAGAAATAAGATTGAATTATTTACACGTGATCAAACAATTTGATGGCCCAGGACGCACACTGACATCGAAGGGCAAAAATGTATATATACGGCTTAATTGAACTCCCCAACTGAAACCCTTGAGCTCGTATCTCATTCCCGCATAACCTCGTACCTCAAATTCCCGCAGCTGTGAATTTTATTGAGCAACTAATATGAAATTAATGGCGCAAAAATCACTCACTTGAAAATCTGCGTCGTTCTTCCACCAATTCGAGCTCAACTTTTGATATTACATGAGATTTCCGGCGAGTTTTCCATTCGCGAGTCCAAAATTTATGGGCGAGTCGCCATATTGCATACTCGACGACCTCAGGTGAGTATGTTCGATTATTAGGCTATCAATATATGTAATACTCATATAGTAGTTAGTGGAAAATGATATGATATACTTTGGATTTTCATGTTATTTTAGTGATTTCATACGATTTCCTGTTTGAGCCACATAAGCAATGGATTTGAATGAATCTCAACCAGGTATTAAGGCCAGTTTTATTGTTTCTGTGATAAAGTGCAACATTCTAGTTTATTGTGTGCAATAATATGTTCACATCAGTGCAATCGGTTGGTTTACTTTATTATTAATAATTTTTTTTTCCCTTTACAATGTCGCTTAAGGAATGCAACCACCGGTTACACAACAACTTCTAATCACACAGGGTGGAACAAAACATTGGATACCATACAGTGACGAATCGATTAAACCATATCAAAGACAGAGATTCAAGGAATTGCATGAAGCAGTGAACTTGTACAAGAGTTACGCTCTTACTGTTGGATTTGACGTGAGACATAGCACATTGGTGAAAGCACGTGACAAGACGGTTATTTGAAAATACCTCGTGTGCTCGCGGGAGGGGTGTAAACATCATGTTATCATCAGTCCTACGGCACATGCTAAAGGGCATGTGAAAAGACATAGAGTGTCCAACCGGGTTGGTTGTATTGCTAAGATTGGATGCGATATGATGGATTGAATGGATATATCGTTAAATCATTTGAGGAAAAACATAGCCACTTAATGACATCTGGCGATTGCAAGTCACAAATGAAGATCAGTAGGTCGATGAGTGCAGGACATTGTTCATTCGTAATGAATTGCATAAAAGCTAATATAAGGTCGGTCAAGTCGTACCGATTGTACAAGGAGATGGTTGGAGGGTATTCAAACATCGGAGCCACTAGCGTGGATTTCAAGAACTTTAAGTGGGAAGTCTTTGCGTACATCTTAGGAGCATAATTGATTATCGAGAAATTCCATAAGCTCGGGAAGCAAGCTCCGCCTTCTACTTCAAATATGAGCTTGACGAAAGCGACTATTTGAAACAACTTTTTTGGGCTGATTTGATTTCAAGGAGGAACTACAGTTCGTTTGGTAATGTTTTATCGTTTGATATGATGTACCGAACCAACAGGTTGGCACAAATATCACATGTATGTTACAATATAGTTTGTCAGGTCAATAATATTTGCACTGGTAAACAATAATTGCACCATTTTATACATTCTCTGGTTGCACAATATAAACATTATCACCTGTGAACTAACTCAACTTGATCAACATGTAGGTACAACATGATATTTGCACCTTTTACCGAGATAGATAACTACAACAAGTGCGTCACGTTTGCCGCCACGTTAATATCAAAAGATGATGTAGAATCTTATGTCTGGGTGTTCACGGATTTTAAAGATGCACTGATGCACGAACCTGAATATATCGTCACTGACCAAGATCCCACAATCGGCACTGCGTTTTCTAAGGTATTCGAAATTTGCAAACACCGATTTTGCATGTGGCATATAATGACTAAATTATGATCGCACGGAGTATATGTACTAGTTTTATACAATACAAATACAAGGAAGATGTAATTACACT